ATACCAAATATCCAACCACAATTCTAAACTTACCAATTATCTTCATTTTTTAAAACAGTTGGTTTATTTACAATCAGAGTCAAACAAGGTCTCTACAATACAGCTGGTTAATGAGCTCTTAATCTCTATTGGTATACAGGTTCCCCCTTCCTCTGTGTTTTCTCTTGGACTATAAAACGGATAAACTGGGCCCAGAAGAATCTCCTGCCTTCAGGATCCGGCAGTCTGCCTCCCCACAGGGTTATTAATATGCTCCTTTACCCCTGAATTTCCTGTAAACTAATGGTTAAATTGAGAGGCTCAGTCTGATTTAGCTGGGATGTTTGGGATAGAACTACTTCTCAGTGGAGATATATGTTTCAGTTATATCAGAAGACAATGTCTGGTTATCCTCTTCTGCTGCTAAAACTGGCTTACAGGAGGATTCTATTACAGGGTAGAGGCAGATCCACACCTCAGCCTGACTCTCCTACTGCATGTTGCTTGAGGAAAGACAATCCACAGATACTAACACCAAGATTACACAGATATTGCAGTTACATGACAAATTATCATTGTTCCCAGATGACATGATCCCCTAGGTAGAAGACCCAAAAAATTCCACCAAAAGACACCTAGACTGAAAAAAAGGATTGAGATGTGTGATGTGCATGCACCAACTCCCCATGATGAATGTTATCAATATGTACTGCAAACGTGCTAATAAAAATAAAAATTAAAAAAGAATTACATGACCAGAGTTTAAAGTAGCTACTATATGGATACTCTAACAAGCAATCACAAACAGTTCTGGGGCAAATGGAAAAATGCAAAATCTCAGCAAAGAAACAATAGCCAAAAGAAAATTACAGAACTGAAGACTACAGTAACTGCAACTAAAACAAAGCAAAACAAACTTAGATAAGCTCGAAAGTCAACAAGGGATGACAAAGGAAAAAAATAGGAAACTTGATGGATTAATAAAAATATGCAATCTCAGGCAGGGGATTTAGCTCAGTAGTTCCACCGCCTGCCTCGCAAGCGCAAGGACCCGAGTTCGATCCCTAGTACCAAAAAAAAAAAAAAAAAATTGCAATCCCCAGTACCAAAACAAAACAAAAAAACCAAGGGCAGGGGATTTAGCTCAGTAGTTCCACCGCCTGCCTCGCAAGCGCAAGGACCCGAGTTCGATCCCTAGTACCAAAAAAAAAAAAAAAAAAAATTGCAATCTGAACAATAAAAAGCCAAATGACTGACAAAAACTGAATGCAGCCTCAGGGACTGGTAGGACAACAACAAGATCTGATGCTACTGTCATTAGAATCCCATAAAGAAGAAAAAAAGAGACTAGTACTTAAAAATATTTAAAGAAACATGTCTTAAGTATGGCAAAATACAAAGGCTATAGATTCAAACAGTTCAGACAACCAACCCTAAATGAGATAAACACAAAGAAATCCACACCCAGACATCCAACACTATGGTCTAAATGCTGAAAACTAAAGACAAAAAAAACAACAACCTTCAAAGCAGCTACAGAAAAACGATGCATAATCTACAAGGAAACAATTCAAATGATGGTAGGTTTCTCTTCAGAAACCAGAGAAGCCAGAAGGAAGCAGCACATTTAAAGTGCTAAGAGAAAAGAATTGTCAACCCAGAATTCTATACACCATAAAAAGTCCTTTGGGAATGAAGTGAAATGAAGACATTCTCAGATGAACGGAAACTGAGAGAATTTGTTGCCAGCAGACCTGCTTTTAAAAGAATTGCTACAGGAAGTTCTTCAGTCAGAGGGAGATGATACCAGAAGGAGACTGGGAACATCAGGAATGAGGGAAGGGTAGACTCAAATGGTTACAGTTTGGGTAAATATGGCATTCTCCTTGGAGTTTTTTTAAAACCTATTGGAAAATTTAAAGCAAAAATTAAAGCATTGTCGTGTGACTTTTAATGAATGTAAACTGACTATGTAACATAAAAAGACACACACAGTAAGGTTTCTGCATTTCCCCTTGAATGGCGCCATATTGATTCAAAGCTGTCTGTGGAAAGATACAGTGGTAGTTTCAGCCCGATCCATCATAGGAAGGCTCCACATCAATTTTTCACCTGCAGGTTTCAGCAGCTGTTGATGATCACTACCTAGATCCATTCCCCATTAAGGGTTATGAAATGGAGGCCTGTACTCTAATTCTCTCACACTTCTATTGGCTGTTATTCTTCAAGGAAAAGATACTTTCTTAAACCAGCTATACGATTAGTTTGAAGCATAATGCATGTAAGAAGGGGGAGGATAAATGCTTGAGTCTTTCCTTTTCTTTACCAATTCTCACAATAGTGAGTTAGAATCACAAACTTTAAACATTAAAGAGATGGGAGAGAACAATGCTGGTTTAATTTCCACTGACATAATCTGGAATAGATAAAATTTACTCCTTTAGACAAATTGAAGACTAACATCCAAACATGTAAATTGTACAGGGTCCTTAGTTCTGATAAGGATTATGAATAATGACACAATCGTTTTGAGTATACACAGTAATGTGTCAGACTGCTTTTTACTGTCACTGGATTACTCTCTTATATTATATGTGTGTATAAAACGTCTCCCTAAGATTATATGATCCCATGACAACAGGAAGCTGATTTTAAATCAATTACTACAGGCCAGCCACAAGACTTTTGTGTATGTGCTGCCAAAGCAAGCACAAGCCTTAAGGCTTTTGATGTTATTTCATTTGATTCTATCAACCACTCTGGGAAACAGGCTCTCAGCACACCCTATTTAGACACAAGGATGCCCCCATGCAGGGAGATGAGGCAGATCCCCGACTCCAGCTTCTTAGGGCAAACACAAATCCAGGCTCAGCCCTGGCTTCCGTTATTACCCTCAGCTTGGCTCTGTGCTGGTCAAGTGTGTCTTTCCTGCTTAGGTGGGTTTCAGTCTTTCCGCTGACCACAAGAAGGTCTAATGGGTCTGCTGGATTTCTCACTTACAGTCCGGAAGATGAAATGAGGTGATAGAAGGCATAAGGGAGAGAGAGGTAAACTTCCAGCATCGCCACAGCAGGGGATACAGCCATGGCTGCTCACCGGGCAGCAGGATTACACAGGAAGAATCTACTCTCCTCTGCAGGAACTTTAAATAGAACCACCAGGTGAGAGAAACATCAGTCTATTAAAGCAGTACGTCATTAAGACTTACACTTTGGAAAAGGATTATTAAAGTAAGAAAATGGTCGCAATAAGGATGGCATCACAATTAAGCGCATTAAATAAGAGAAACACAGGGAGGAGAGAGAATAGAGAGCCCTGCAAAGACGGAGATGTACTGGCAGTAAATTGCCTAAGAGTTAGCATTTCATTCTAATCTATGTGATTATGGGCTGTCTTATTTCTTCTTTATACATTTTTGTATTTTGCAAGTTTTTTTTACAATAAGCTAAAGAGGAAAATTTTGTAAAAATAGCGAAGGGTGGGTGTGCAGCGACTAAGCAGAGGGGAGGATTTCCAGAGCAGTGAAGCTATGCTGTACGATCATCTCACTACATACCTGTCCAGCCCACAGGATGCACAGCATCGAGGGTGAACCCTAACAGCAACTGTGTCACCATGACGGGTCAGAAAAGATCCATCATGGCCCGAAGTCTACTCTGGTATGGGATGTCTACGTCAGCGAGGCTGTGCACAGGCTGGGAAGGGGGCTCTTGGGAAATTGCTGAACTTCCTGATTTTGCTATAAACTTAAAACTGCTCAAAAATAGTCTTAAATGGAAGCACAGAAAGTAAGAGACCAAGGGCCGGGAATTTAGCTCAGTGGTGTCGTTGTCTGCCTCGAAAGTACAAGGACCAGAGTTCGATCCCCAGTGCCAAAAAGAAAAGAAAATAAGACACCAGGAAAGAGAAGGAAGGGGGATGGAGGAAAGGAAAAGGGAACACAAAAAGAATCAAGATGCATGATGCTGCGTACACATGTCAGCTCCCCATGATGAGTGTGATCATTATGTACTGCAAACATGTACTAATAAAAATGTAAAGATTAAACGAAATAAAAATTAAAACATTGGTATATATGTAAAAAAAATAAAATAAATGTGTGTATTTGTTCAGAGCGAACAACAGTAGTTACAAAGGCTTGAGCTGTGTCTAGTATTTACGGGAAAGGAGAGCAGGAAGAGTGTCCAGAGGGACCAGCAGCAGCAGGCACACAGCAGCTTGCTGAGAGAGCTGGAACAGTGTGACTGGTGGGGAAGAGACACGGAGGCACCCGAGGCTGTGGTGTGTGACATCACTGGACACAGGGATGCTGGAAGGGAAGAGCCTGCATGTATCCAGGCCAGGGAGAAGTTAAGCCTCACAGCAACACTACCAAGAGGCAAAGGAGGCAAATGTGGGGTTGTGCATGTGTGTGTGCACGTGTGTGTGCGTGCATGTATGCATGTACTAACACTATGAAATGTTACACAGTAGGTGAAAGAAACCAGGGTGGCCACAGACAAGAATTTTATCTATAGCAGTAGCAACCGTTCAAGAATATACTTTTATAGTACAGACATCATTAATAAATGAGCACTTTGAAAAAGAATTCCAAGTACGAAGGAAACCAAGCAAGCACATAAACAAGTCAGAGCCATTCAGAAAAGGGTTTGAGTGAACGTGGACTGGCTCTGCGCTGCTGAGCTGTGTGCCCTGGATGGATTCATTTCCCTCCCACATGGGGGCTCCTCGTCTGCTCCCTGGAGATAACACACCCTTGTCATCCGGAAGCTGAGCCAGGTCTCCTTGGACGTCAATGCACTGCTGATGCAGAGCTAATGGTGGAACCGGCTAGGCCACAGTACTTCATATAAAGCCCCATCGATGGTAGCTGGGCATTTCCAGATTTACACAACAGAGATGTGCAAAGAACAGGCGTGGGCAGTAACAGCGCACGCTGAGTGTCTAAGTGTGGGAGGTGCAGTGGAGTGAGTGTCCAGTACAGACACAAGGATGGTGGTGTTGGAGCCCTGGGCACTTACTGCAGTTCTCCTCGTCGCTGCCATCGGGACAGTCCTCAAACCCATTACACCGGAAGCGGCCAATGATGCAATGAATGCCGCTGGCACAGGGGAAGAACGTCGGGCCGCACTTCGATTTAGCTTTGGCTGCGGGGCGACAAAAGGACACACAGCGAGACATCAGGGCATTACGTTCCCGGATCACTATGCCCATACCTCTGGCTCTGAACATGGTTTATCTTTGTCCCCACAGGGGTCCTTACACCACCCACCTCAGGGACCAGGCCCTACGCAGCATCCTGGGGCAGGAACTGGCTAATCCTGCCAGACACAGCCTTGCACCATGGCAGGCGCCCAATCAGAGAGTGGAGAGGAAGTGATAGATACGGAAATGGGTGAGCAGATGGATGGCAGATGGAGCCTGCTTCTTAGGGTGCCGAAGAACCAGTCAAGTTCCCCGGGCGTCTCACTGTGCTAGGCTGGTGCCCAGTGCTCTGCCCGGATTGTCTCCTTGAACCCACCCAGCAGCTGCCCAATGGGAGGATGTGCAGAAGGGCTGGTGCAGCAGCCCCAGGCTGTGGGCCTCACAAAGGCCTGTTTTCGAGGTTGTAGGGGGAACTTGGATAAAGGGAGGGTCTCCATCGCCCCGACTGGTAAGAGTGGTTCACTGTGCCTGAAGTGTGGATGCAAACAATACGCCCTGTGCTGCACAGCGGCTCTCCTTTGGGAGGCTGGAGTTTTGGTAGACAGAGGATGCCAATGCGAGCAGACCTGGCTAAGAAACTCGGGACAGTGAGTCTCTAATGAGTTTCCCTAGTAGACAGCACTTCTCTTCAGTTGTTAGCACCTTGCTGCTAGGGCAATTAAGTGCATTCTGGGTGCCGCAACTGGGAGAGGACTCGGAAGCTGAGCCGAGTCTCCCTTGGACTTCAGTGCGTTTCCTGGGGCCGTTGTTGATTCTGCATTCTGTCCTTTTGCTATAATAAATCGTGGCCACAACCTGACCATATACTGAATTCTGTGAACCCTCCTGGGACATTGCTGAACCTGGTGTGGCTTTGGAGACCCCAAACACAGATGGGAATGGCTCCTATCCCCACTTCATGGATGCGCTCTGAGGATAGTGACATGCCCAAGGCCACACGGCTGGAGAATGTAGAGCTGGGGTGAGGCCCTGATCCCAGGCCCCAGAAGCCATGATCTCAATCAACTCAACTGCACTGCCTCTCTGCCAAGGCCGCTCATTTTTTTGCAACAGAAGCCAGGCTCCTGCTCTGATAAAATTCATCTTGCACTCCTGCTGTACAAACAGTTTGAACACAAACGGTTGTAACTCAGGCTTGATTGAATGTCCTGCTAAAGCAAACAGCCCTGTGGGGTAATGCACTTTCTCGTTAATGGTGCTCCCTGCTCTGGCTGGTGATTAGGAGGTGTAAGATTGGATCTGTGGCTGCACACAGGTAGCAACTCCACCAAGCATCCCTAGCGTCTGCTGGCTTAGAGGCAAGAGCCACATCCCTTACAGAAGCAAGGGCCGTTTCTTTGGAACAAGCAGGCAGTAAATTACCTCCATGTTCCCGCCACCAGTAACATGCTAACTTTAGCAACAGCCAGTTCACAATCAACGGGGTGGAAAGGCTTGGGTGGTTTCCACACTTAGAAACCCTACATGGCTGTGTTTCAGCCTGGCCCTTCTATAGTGATGTGGGTTTGCTCTCCTCAAAGCACCATCTTCCGGAAGTCCGGATTTCAAACTCTAGCTCCATTCTGATGACTTTGACCACATTTCTAAATATTGCTGAGCCTCAGTTTCTTCACCAGCAAAATGAAAGTAACACTGACCTCACAGGCCTCTAGATAGGACTCAGTGATAATCTATATAAGAGGCCTAGTGTAGAGCATGGCATATAGCGGTGCTCAGTAAATCAGATGCTTAATGCTATCTGTCATCACCACTGTCACTCTCATTAAGTTTGAAGAATTTAAAAACTGATCCTTGAGCTGCTAGAAAGTATTTTCTGATTACAACAGTTCAAAAAGCTCATGATGGAAGATGTCTATGATGAAACAAAGTTATTTCCAAGATATACTGTTAAGCAAAACAAAACAGAAAACCAAGTACAAAAGAGTATCTATAGTACGTTTTCCTCTATATAGGAAAAAAAGGGGGCATAAGAAAATATACATGCATTGACTGATACATGCAAAAGACTACTGGAAGGATAAGAAACTAGGGAGATGGGTCAGCAACAGGGGGTGAGTGGAAAGGAATGGGAATAATGATGGGAAACTGGGAATAGAATAAAGGAAAAAGATTCTATTTCCACACACATGGGCATATCTGCCGATCTCAACATATAACTGTATTGATTACACCTGGAGAAGTGTGTATCTTAGAACCACGTTATTTCACGCATCCCCAAATAAGCAATTAGAATCCATCACATGGGTTCGGGGGGACACTCGGTGGAATATAAACAATACCAAATGAACATAATCTTATTACAAATGAATAATATTACCACACTGAAGGAAGTAGGAAAAAAAGAACCTGACACGTTACTGGTAAACATTATTTTGCTGGATTCTATAAGGCTACAGAAAAATAAAAGAACTATACCCAGACACCATACTATATTTGTCTCGCACAGGGGGTATGGAATAGCAATTTGAAACTTCCTTTTCTGTGTACAAGGGTTGGACCAGTATATAAACACACTGTGAACAATAAGAGCAAGATGTCTCATTGTCTGGACAAAGAAGTTGCAAATCAGGAAAGTAAGAAAGTAAAATGAATCGTGAGGCTTTCATCCACACACCAGCAAGCATATCTAGCTCCTGGCTCTTGGTTCCTAACTATCATTAACCAGCAAATGGAACCAGGCTCCTCGAGAAGTGGTTAATTGCAGATGGGACAGAAAGATGATCCTGTGATCCTGGAGGATCTTGTGTTGCCAGAAAGTAAAGAAGAACACAAAATGCGAGGGATGTTAAAAACTCCCAATGGCCAAAGTGAAAACAATCTAAGCAAGCAAAATAAACAACAGTTTTCTGGATTGTAATCCAGAGAAAACAATATTCCTCAGGTTTCTGAGGACACATTTAATGTCCAAAAAATATTGAATAAATCAGTGAATGATGGGGGAGGGACAGTTGTTCCAGCTGTAAGAATTCCCCTTAATAAATACAGAAATGTGGGAAATAGAAAGTCTCCAGTAAGCAAACAGCACAGTGTTAGCTACTACAAAGGCAAGATGTACCCATGGATCCAAAATTAGAGGTGAAAGCTAGAGGAGAAATGGGAAATTTGCATACTTTCAAAGTGGCAATGTTTATCATGTTGCCTTTTATAGCTATGATTATTACCCTACCACCAATGTGTTTATTAATTACAAAGGGAAAAACAGTGACTTAATGATGGAGAGACTTGGCAGACAGCGGCTTAACTGAGTTATCATGGTCAACATGACAGCAACAAGACACATCAACAGTATACTCCCCCTCAAATGAGGAGCTGAGAAGGTTGCCCCATCACTGCTGGGGTATTCTTGCAAAGCAAAGAAGCATAGCATCAAAGCAATCGCAGAACACACCAGACAAGCCCAACCAGAATTCTACCATGCACCCAACCAGAATCTCCAAGGTCATGAAAAACTTAGAAATTAGCAAATATTGGAGCAGACAAGAATACTAAATGTCATATGAGGTCCTGGCACAGACATTAGTGGGAAAACTGCATAAATCCCAGTGAAGTTCTATAGTATAGTTGATAGCATTGTACTAGTGCTGATTTCTTAGTTTTGAAAACTTTTATGGCTTTATACGATACTAACAAGTGGAAGGTGGGTAAAGAGTATGAGAACTCTTGGCATTATTTTTGCAACTTTCCTGTGGGGCTGAAATTATTTCAAAATAAAAAGCATAATCAATATTCATTGTGCAGTACATAGAAATAGAACAGAGAAGAAGGAAATTACCTATGATCTCTCCACTCCAAAGTAACTGTAATTAACGTTTTTCTACGTGGGTGATATCAGAATGCATATTTTTAATGTTCCCAGATGCTTTATTAATTTTTTAATTTTTGAGATACTGCAGTTATGAGAAATAATACAGAGAGACCCCATACACCCTTTTCCTATGGTCCCCCATTATGAAACTAGAGGACAACATCACAATCAGGATATTGACATTGATACTGTAAAATATAGAAATTTCCATCACCACAAAATCCCACATGCTGCTACTCTCCCATTTCCATCTTTTTATTAATCCTGGCAACCACACGTCTGTTCTACATGTCTATAATTTTGTCATTTCAAGAATGTTGTGTAAATGGAACCATACATTCTGTATAACCTTTTGGGAATGGCTTGTTTTCATTCAGCATAAGTCTCGAGAAAATACATATAATTTTGTACCCCAACACTTTCACTTAGCATTACAGCATAAATATTTTCTAATGTTTTTGTAGCTGCAAAAACATTTCATCTTAGTGGCATGATATGGTTATTTTTACTATCTCCTTTATGTTGGGTACTTGGTGCTATCATATGGATGTAGTCTGTCCTCCAAAGGTTTGTGTGTCATAGGCCTTGTCCCTGACATGGTAGTGCTAAGAAGCTGTGAAACCTCCTAGTGCAAGGTAATTAGGTAGTTGAGGTCGCTGCCCTTGGAAAGAGTTAATGCTGGTCTAGGGAAATGAATTTGTTTCTGCAAGAGTGAGTTGTTATAAAAAAGCAAGTTTGATCCCTGAATCGCTCTCTACCTCACCATGTATCTTTCCCTCTCCACACAGAGCTCCTGTCCACGATGTCATGTATTAGGTGACACTGCCAAGGCACCCTTCACCAGAGCTGAAGAGATGTCAATGCCAAACTCCTGAACCTCCAAAAACTGTGAGCTAAACAAACCTCCTTTCTTTACAAATCTCCCAGTCTCAGGTAATTGGTTATAGCAACAAAAAGAGGACTAACAGTTAGTTACGATCAAATTCTCAGCATTACAAATTAAACTGTAAAGAACATTTTTGTGCCCCTTGTGCACTTTGCCTGAATTACAAATAATACTCTTAGGCCAGATTCCTAGAAGAGGGGTATTAAGTGGCAGATTATGAACATTTTATGCCAACTATATGATGTATTGGG